AGATGACAGGCAGAGATTTTTTTCAAAGAGAAAGTTCAGGGATACTTCGGGTCTCGGCTGGGAGGAGTCCCCGAAATGCCAGGAGGCGAACCGCAACCTCTTCAGGCTACACCTTTAGTCCCTGAAGGAGCCCGGGAAGACTGCGCATAGTGGAACACGCCGGCCACCCCGAGCCGTGCCTGCGATCCACTGCCGAGGCCACCTGGCCAGTGCCACTCACGGCGTGTAGCCCGTGGCTCCCGAGTCCTCGGCTCCGCAATGGCGGGAGCAGCTCTCGCCCAGCCACAGTACGGCGAAGCCAGGCAGCGGCGGCTCCCCTGCCTGTGGCTGCGCCCTCGGGTCTCCCGTCGAGGAGGGAGGGAGGGAGGCCTGGGCCCGGGGGCTCCCAGGCGGTGGTCGGGCCGCTCTCCTCGACGCTGCCTCCCCCCTCTCAGCCTGGCCAAATCCCTGAAAGCCCGGTCCCCCTTCGTCACCCCGGGGGCTTCTAATCACTCAGTATCGATTTCCCTAACTCTTTTCATCCTGTTGAAGACACATCTTAAAACACTCCAGCCCTGAGTGTGCTCTGGGCTTTATCCACACTAATAAAATGATTTACCCTTCTCTCTGCGCTCTCCTCACAGAGGAAAATCGTTCGAGCCCCGGCTATTTGTGTGTGATCAGTAAATATTTAGTGCGGTGACATCCTCAGCTAGGCTTCGGATCGATTCGGGGCCCACCGGGAGGTGCGCACGGCCCGGGCGGGGCCCAGCTGAGTCCACCAAGGGGGCTCCTCCCGCCCCGGCCGCTGATTTACGGCCTCGCCAACCAGCAAGGGAGGGGGGCGAAATCGCGCCTGGAAAATTGGCTTTTCAACCTTTTTTATTTTTGACATTCAGCTACTTCCTCAGCCTCTAATTCTGGTCCCCACTCCTCCCTGCCCCCCACCCTGGGCTCCTGGCGTGCGTCCCGCTAGCCCTTCCAGTGACAGCGCGGCACTTGCGCCCCCTCGACCGGTGGACCACCTATCATAGCCCTGAGCGAGAGGCAGGGAGGCCCCAGCCCCTGCTCTGGGTCGCCCCCATTGCAGAGAGACACTGTCCTCCCTCCCACACCTCCGAGGGCGGAGAGGAGGTGGAGGAGCCCAGAGCCTCATTTGCTGGACTGGGAGCCGCTCTCCCTTTCTCCGACCCTGGGCCTTTCTCCTACTCCGGTGACTGATCCTCGAGGCCCATCTGGCCAGATGGCCTCGGATGAGAACTTTTTACTTTCCTGGAAGAGAAGCTCCCCTTTCTTAAGAAGCGAGAAAAAGCGCTTAGCTTGGAGGTCTTGGGGGGGGGGGCTCCTGCCCTGACCCTTGCTGTGAGAAGGCTTTGGCTGGCCGTGGCAGCAGGCAGAGTTGATGCCCCCGGCCCTCCAGGCCTCACGAGATGCGCACTATTTCAATATTGTAGGGCCGAACCCTGGACCTTGGACACAGCCCTGGGCCGGGCGTAGAGCTAGCACCGTCTCACCATCTTACCGCATCCTATGGAACCCACCACCTTGGACTGTGGGAAGTGAGGGATACCAGACCCTCCGGCTCCACCACATTTCAGCCAGGGGATGAGGACCTACAAGTCTCCAGCACTGCCACCCACCTGTTAGCCAGCCTGCTCCCCCTCTCACCTGGGGCTTGGGTCTGTGCATTTATCCAGGGGCCCAGGGAGGAAGGTGCATGATCTTGTTGGGTCCATGCACCCCTCCCAAACTCTAGTGCCCTCGCCTTAGTCCCACATATGATTTTCTAAACCGCTTTATCTTCAGACTATATCTTTATACTAATGCATACTTAATTGGTCCATCTTGACTGTCCATATAAAACAATTTAATTAGGGTGCTTTCTTACTTTGGAGAGCAAAGAAAAAAATCTGCCCAGTGCTTATTGTATTTAGTACCAATACAGGCAGAAAATGTAGCACAAGTTTTTGGTTGAAAGAGCACCCCTGTGCCCATTGAAGGGCGTTGATCCGAAAAGACAGAAAGGACAAGTAAAATCGATTTGAAGCGACCCTCTCTGTCCCTTTCACACCATTCAGAAACTCCATTCCTTCTAAGACAAAGACCAGCGCCTTGGGAATTCTCAGGGAAAAAGGACTCCAGTCCTACAAGCCTAGGGCACTTTAAAAAAAAATCTTCAATATTCCACTTAAAACCCACTCTCAGTGCAGTGACCCCCAAGTGAAGGAGCCCCCTCCAAGTCCCAGGCAGGGTGGCTGACAAATCCACGCTGCCCTGCCTGCTTGGCCTTCGGGCCAGGCCAGCCTTTAAGGGTTAGTTAGTACAGACCTCACCTTTGACCCCTGAGATCCAAGTGGCTGCCAGTACTACAACTCTGGCCAAAGTTAAATAAATAAATAAATAAATAACAAAAATTTCCTCTCCTCCCAAATCCAGGGAAACCAGTTCTGGTTCAGGTGCCTGAGACACCTTACTCAATAACCACCTCCATCCCCGACTTTTTTTTTTCTTTTCCTTTTTTGCAATGAACTGCCCTAGCCCTCCCTTATGGAGGGAATTTAAGTTGTCAGGGCTCCTGGCTGGATTGTGGGTTAGTTTCCTAATCTAACTGGTCCTCTATAAGGAACTCTGAATGCCAGGTTATCCCAAAGGCGCCCAGGCTGGGGAAGGCAGTCATTGATCAGACCTGGCAGGAAAGGGAGGAGGGAGAGGAGGAGACAGAAGGGAAGGGGAGGGGAGGGAAGAGGCCCGGTTGTGATCACCTTCACCTGCCCTGAACTGGGCCTTCCTGTGTAACTATCCCTCGACCTTCTGCTGGGGTTTCAGGGGGCGGAGCAGAAGGGAGGGGGCACCACTGAGTTACACAAGTGACCTCCTTCTACTAAGGAGAATGAGTTCACCACCTCCCCAGAGGAGCCTCACCATCCATCCACTCAGTATAACTGATGAGACAAACCGCAAGGAAAAACTTCTGTAGCCCATATTTATGGTATTAATGAATAGTTAAAAAAAGATTTACACTTCTTATGATCAATATTCTGAGTTATTTTGCTCAAAGTATATAATTACAGTGTCTTCAGAGTTTTCATCATTGTTTGAGGTGGCAAAACCATTTGTAATTTTCATTAGCCAGTAAACATGTAATTAACATTCAGCACTGTGTTTAACTTAATTCCTGTTTAAGACAAGGACAAGAAGCAGCCGAAGAGCGTTAGTTCCATTTGTCAAGTCTGACATACATCTTACCATAACAGTTTCCTAAAATAAAAGATCCGTGTTTCCCCATTATTCTTCTCTTAAAACAAAACAAAAAAAATCCATTAGTTAAAACTGTATTAAACTGTGAGAGGCAGCATAGTTTATTCTCGATTTTCACTAGTTACCGTATTCCTGCTTCCTTTATTCATTTTGGGGAGTGGACAAAGGGAGGGGGTGAATTAAGCATTCATAATCTGAAGGCATGAAATGGGGAACCCCTCCCCCCAAAAGAAATAGATTTCCTCTTCTGGAAAGTTCTAGAATGGGGACCGGAAAGGGGGGGAGGTACAAATCCACAGGGGAGCGAGGGGAAAATCACTTGGGGAGACTTGAGTTAAAAGTAGAAAATGAGGATTCCAACAGATTCCTAGGAAAAATGTTGCCCTCCTGTTTCAAGTGCTATCTTTGATCCAGGGCGAAGGCAGCCTGTCTGCCTGTCTGTGAGGCTGCTGTTTTTCCCCCTCCTCTCCCACCTCGGTTTTTTTCCAACTTGCTTTAGGATTAGCCTCCATCCCTCTCGACCCCAAACAGTGGAATTTGGCTGTGTCTTGGGTCGTCTTGCTTTGCAATATCGCCTATGGTTGTTGGCGGTTTTCTGCTGAGCCTGAGCCGTTTGCTCCAGCCTCCGACTAAACTCATTAAGTTGGGAGATTTTTTTCAATTGGACGGGTGTTTTTAAAGTCTCGCCTTTCCAGCCCCAAACAAGGTGTAACAACGCACTCTTCCTTCTAAGGAATGAGATGAGAGACAAGGATCACTCCAGACATCTCCTACCTACGGTTTGAGGTTTTTTTTCTTAAAGGCGAGGCTTGCATTCCTCAGCAGCTATGTACAAAGCTCCCTGAAACCTTGTCTCTCTAAAGTTAGAGTGTGCAGGGTTTTCTAAGGCTGAGAGCGCCTAATACATGGGGAAGCACTTCCTTGAGGTGGAAGATCTCTCCCCTCACCTTTCCTCTTTTTCCCTGCAGGCTAGTGCCTACTTTTTATCAGTTTGCACAATCGCATAGATAAACACCGAGGAAGAGATTCTCTTTAATTATCAAAGACACATCTTTTCAGGGGGCCAACAAAGCGTTTATTTCACCCGCCAAACTAAAGGAGAGTTATTCCAGTTTAGGAGGAAGATGCAAGCGGTTTGGGACCTTGAACAAGGCAAATATGGTTTTGGTATGTTTACTTCCAGTATTTTTTCTCTCTCTCTCTCCTTTCTCACTTTTCTCCTTGTGCTGTGTGGGGATGGGGATGACTTGGGGCTTTTCAAAAAATCGGTTTGCTAACGTGTATGAAATGCCTAGGACTGTGGTTTCGGGGTTGGTGGGGGGGGACAGAGTCAATTCATTGCATTGCCATATTTTATTACATGTGTGTGGTAGGAGAGGTGGAGGGGGAGAGGGGGGAAATACAATTGCAAAGCTGCCAAAATATGATTAAACCGAAGCGTTAAGACTGCGGTGCCTCCCATCCCCTCGTCCTGTCTCCTCAAACTCATTTCCTTCCATAGAGCAAACTAAAAATCAGTCCTATAAGCGTGGTTTTCCAAGCAGCAGACAACTCGGTTTTCTAGCAAAGGAGCTGCTGGGCTCTCACTAAGTACTAGAATTTACTGTTCGATTTGCCTCTGCGCTTCATTTTGCAACCTTGTGCAACTGACAGCCAGGCAGGCAGGGAGAGAGAAAAGCCTAGCCCAGCGTCCTCGGCCGCGGTTCGGGTAGGCGAGCGCTCGGTTAAGCTAAGACGAGAAACGCAACGAGAAGGGTACTCACCATCGAGCGGGGTGGTGGAGCTGGCGTGCGGGTTTCAGGCAAACGTTTACCTTTTTGCTGTCTATTGCAACCGCGCCGGACTGACTTAAGAAGCAATTCTGTGCTCTGTCCAGAACGTTCAAGGAACGGTTCCTCATTTTTAAAAAGCCGGCGAGAGAGACGACAGAGACAGAGAGAAAGAAAAAGAGAGGAGGGGGTGAGGGGGACGCACATAAACCCAGTTCAAAAAAAAAAAAAAATCGCCTCTTCGCCAGTGACTCGGGAAACGCAGAGGTGGCGAGATCCGAGTACGGTCCAACCAAGTCAGAGCCAATTAATTTTAAATCCTGAAGAATTATTCAGATTAAAATGTACAGAAGTTTCATTCTCCTATGCCTACGTGAGCCCAAAGTCGTTTCCCTTTAAGAGCTCCTTTTCTTTTAAAGTTGAATTTTAGGCAGAGAGGACTCTTACACTAGGGGGCAGACAGATACTGTACTTGCTCCAATCTTAAGCAATTTTTTCCCTCCCAGCATATGCTCTGATTTAGCACTGTAAATTTTTCAGAGGACCCAACTCTGACAGCCCCTGGTGATTTTCAAAGTACCACAAGCCAGTGGTTAAAAATTGCATTGACTTGGAAGTTCAGAGGGACACAATGGAAGCCCCTTTCTCTATTCATGGAGCTCCAGTGTGGTGGAAGAGAAAAACACACACGGACTAGATGAGGGAAAGGAGGAATTCAATGAGTCCTGGAGGACGAAACTGGTTTCTACTGAGTTCAGAGTTAAACTCAGTATTTGCTGGGGTCTGTATTCATATAGTGATTTAATCTGTAAAAAACTACATACAGCCCATCAGGCCACTTTCTGCAAGAAAATTATATTCCTGGCTGTTCAGTTTCTTTCTTTCTTTTTTTTTTTCAGATTAGGACAAATGTTTGTCCAACTTTCTCTAGACAAATTAAAACCTGCCATTTTCTCTCATTAAAATAAATTTAAATCTGCAATAAAAACTGAGCTGGATTTTAAAAAAACAATAACAACATATTGATGTTTATCTTTTAGTCTGAGTGCTTTTAAATATTAGAGTCACAGCAAATGAGCATCTCTGAAGAAGACATTTTAAAGTATTTTTGCCTTCTTCTCAGTCTCAGTCCTGTCTCTTCTCTGTGGGAAACTTAACTACAATTTAAACAGTGATTTCTCTCCCCTTTGTAACAGCATTTTCATAACTGAGTGAGTCCTAAAATACAGAGTGAAACACCTCTAATTTCATAGCAGCCCTGTGATCATTTCCCTAGCAGGCTCCAATTCTGCAAGAGATGGTTGAGAAATTCTTCATTTCTATCTAAGCGGTCAGAATCAGAGCATACTTTAAAGTCCCAATATGTCCAAGTGGACTGGGAAAGCTCTCCCTTCTCAAAATTGCCCCTTCACATGTTTGTAAAAGGTAATCTTGCTATAGACATCTCCCTACTCAAGAAGTGAAGTTAAGATTTCCCCATAATCAATTATTTCCATCTTTTACTAAATTGAGATTGGAATGTCCATTAGATTTTCTATTTCAACCCCAGCCTCACCACATCTCTGCTGAGCTTGCCCCAATCCATTGACATTTGTAACATAAAGCAATTCCTGAATCATAGAAGTTGAAAGAAAAAAAAACTCAAAACCTTCTTCTCTGAAATGATTTCTTCTCCTTTCTTCTTGTCCTCTTCAAGAGAAAGTTATATTGTGTCTCTAATCAACCCGAAATTCTCAGCTTGGCTTTACTCTGTGGCAATTTTATTACATACAAGGTTTATGGTAGTTCACTGTCCACTATAGATTTGGTGGGCTAGTTTTTTTTTTTTTTACAACATTTAAATAATCTCAGCACCTGCAGATTTAGTGAAATGTGATTTCAGCAGAGAAAGAGTAAGGGCTTAGGAGGTTTCAGAAGTGAAGCTTGAAGAGGATTTTTCTTTTCCTAAAACCAGCACATATCTGATCGTATCTTCACTTCATCTCTACCTCTGCCTATGTGTATAAACAGAATTGAATGCAAAAGGGCAATCTGTACATGTCAATTATATGTATAGTTTATTTTTAAATTATCTTTGTCTAGTCAATTTTTCATCTACCAAGAAGGCTTTTCTGTAGTTGTCAATTTACTCTTTACACTTGTTCATTTTTTTTTCCTAGAGCTTAGCGTCTTTTCTGTACAATATTTTAATTGTTCATAAACCTGGGCAGCTTACTGGCATACAGTTTTTCTTTGTGCAAAGTGTATATAATGAAGACACAATTTTCTTGTATGAATGGAATAATAATAGCCCATTGATTGGTCGTAATCAGACAGCACATTTACTGCATTAGAATATAGTGTGTTCTGGGGTGAGTTCTACATTTCTGGTGTCTAAAACCAAACACCCTGGAATTCAAAGACACAAGTGTTATCAATGATTTTAACACACTGAGCAAAATGGCATAGGCTATGAAGTTGTTCTTTTTGCAATGACTCTCTTGAGTTAGAGTATGGCTTGTGTGTGGTTCTCCTGACCTGTACCAGTAATATTTCCAATTTGGGGCAAAATCTCTGGGTGTGTTTTAATGACTATATGAATGCTTAAAAGGAACCTGAGGAATAATGAAGTCTATACTCAACTGTTCTATGACCTAGAAGCATAGCCGCCTAAGTCTTTGTGTACATTGACAAATGTGCATCTGATACATGTGCGCTTACATGTGTGTACAGAAGATGTGCATAAGAGAGGCTAGGCGGCTGCCTCTGCCTGTCCATCAGTGGGCAGGAGTCTTTTCTTTCTCACCATGACTGACTGTGTGGCAGGATGTTGGGTTGCAGTTAGCTAAAACCAAAGAGAGAGGATAAAGTTGAGAAAAATTGATTTCAATTGCGTCATGACAATGAGATGAAGTCGTCTTCTGCTTCTCAGCATCCGAGATGCTTTATTTGAGCAATTAAAATGTCAGGCCACATACCTGTAAATGCTTCCTTGCCTACAGGGAAAAGACAAACACCAAACGGCCTTTTTTCCTTTAAAAAAGAATTTAAAAGTGAGCTATCAACCAAGCCTGTGATTAGCGTTGATTAAGAGAAGGGTTTACCATCTCCCGGATTTGGCCAAATCTTTCGTTTGGAAATACCTGCAAACTCAGTTCTTAGCACATTCCCACCCCCACCCCCTACCCCTCTGCAAAGAAACCAGGGAACTTTTCTCTTTCTTTAGCATTGTGGGCACCAAGATGCGCCCCGAGTCCCGGGTGGTGCGCGAGCGGCGGATTTCGTGGCCTCGCCAAGTTGCGAGAGGCTAAGTCCTAGATTCCATCCAAAGCCTCTCGCGGAGCCTTTAAGAGGCGTTGTGTGTGCGCACTGCGCTAGTCTCCCGGTCGGGACAGCACCTCGGGTACCGGGTGTGGGGAGAACCCGAGCAGCGCTTCCAGGACCCGCGCGGACCCATCCCCCGCTCTGCAGCAGGCGCGGCGGGGCCAACGGGTTCCCCGCCCCCCCCATCCCCC